CCAGGTTAGAAGCCCGGCTCTGAACCACTGTGTTCCTTTCTGGCCCCTGTGGACTCCGTTGGCTTGCAGATCATTTCGGAGCGCACCAAGCCCAGGATGCACGAGTTCCAGTCCGAGGTGTTCATGATCATCGGCGGTTGCACGAAGGACGAACGGTTCGTAGCTGAGGTAACCTGTCTGGACCCGCTGCGGCGCAGCCGCTTAGAAGTGGCCAAGCTGCCGCTGACCGAGCAGGAGCTGGAGAGCGAGAACAAGAAGTGGGTGGAGTTTGCTTGTGTGACACTGAAAAACGAGGTCTACATTTCGGGTAAGCAGATCTGTACTGCTGAAGTACCCCCTCTTACCTTCCGCTCCGTATTGCTTCAAAAGCCACCTTGCTCTTCGCAGGCCTTAAAGGCAGGAGTTGAGCATCTTTCCTCTTTTGGGGGGTGTGGGATGGGGGATGGGGTGGGGGTGGGGGTTGCTTTCTGGACCTGAACTTGTTTCGGGAAGAGCTGCCTCCCAGAGCCGGTGTCCTCCAACGGAGGGAAGTTCAGCTCTTTAGCTGGATTAATTATGGCTTTCTAATATCTTCTAGAATTAGTTGTTTGCTTTTTAAAAATTGTTGTAGAAGATTCAGGGTATGAAGTCAAATAGAACAGTTTCTCTGTGCCATTATAACCCCACATTTTATTTTTAAAATAAAAAATAGCTTTCTATGACCCCAGGTTACGGAATGCTAGTAGGTCAGCTCCACGCAGCCAGTTAGGGACACAGGCTTCTTCCACCTGGCGCTGCTGCTGGTTCCCACGTGGGGCCTTCAGGGCTACTGTGCTGAGGAGGAGAGAGTGAGGAGTTGAGACAACACATCTATTCTTAACACCCGCAGTCTGGGAGGGATGCATCATTTCTGCTTGCCGTGCCTGGTCCATCTTCCCTCCACCTCCCTGCGGTGATCCAGGAGAAGGAGCGAGGCTGGGTGCCTGGAGGGAGAAGCAGGTTTGGGAATCAGTCTTGGTCATGTAGAGCAGTGGTTTTCAACCTTCCTCATGCCGTGGTCCTTTAATAGAGTTCCTCATGGTGTGGTGACCCTCAACCATAAAATTATTTTCGTTGCTACTTCATCACTGTCATTTTGCTACTGTTATGAATCGTCATGTAAATATCTGATAGGCAGGATGTATTTTCATTGTGACAAATTGAAAATCATTAAAGCATAGTGACTCATCACAAAAACAATATGTAATTCTTTTTTTTCAATATGTAATTCTATATTGTGAAATCTTTATTTCTAATGACAAATAAATGAAATTTTGTCTTGAAGCATGCTGTAGCATGGGGAACAGTCTTCACGCCAGGTAGTCATATGTAGGCATATCTGCATGTGGCGGACCCGCCTGGAGACGGATGGAGAAGTGGTGTCTCAGTTCCTAAGGCCTTCGGAAATATGTGTTTTTCAATGGTCTTAGGCGATCCCTGTGAAAGGGTCGCTTGACCCCCAAAGGGGTCACAACTCAGAGGTTAAGAACTGTAGACTATACATGTTGCTCTACTACCTGTCACTCTTACTCTTAAAATGGTTTCCTTTTTAAAAGTACACAGCAGTAGTGAAAATTTGCTTGTAAATAATTCTGCCAACCCAAATTTGTATTCTAATTATCAATATATTCTGGACATCACTCCCTGTTGGATTTATCATGTGTATTAAATGATACAATACAATACAAAGCCCTTAGGGCAATGCCAAACATGCAGTAAGAGCTGAGTGCTGTTGGCCACCAGGTTTCTTATGGACCAAAGTAAAGTCAGGTTGTGGGTTTTTAAAAAAATGCTAGTTGTACTAAATGTAAACATAATGTTTGGACACTACTCTACATTGGGTCCATACTGTAGTCTTAGTAAATGGCATAGCAGTTGGTGTCTAATCAACCCTGTCTCAGCTGCAGGGCAGTCCAAGGAGCCCTGGGAGTGGAGTGGCTACATGTTGAGCTGTTGTCCACAAGGTCAATAGTTTGAAACCACCAGCTACTGTGTGGGAGAAAGATGGGGCTCTCTACCCCTGTAAGGCAGTGAGCATGGTTTGATTTTTGCAGGGCAGTGTACTGAATGGGTAAATCACTCTTTAAAAAAATCCATTCCCTCTCTTGTCTACAGTTTTATTTTTTTCTTACTGAAAAATATATGCTGCTATAAGCATTCTGGTACCTTTAACTCTATGGTGCCGGTGTTAGTCGTTGGAGAGATTCCTGGAAGTGGATTGCGCATTTAGAATTTTGGTGAATATTGTTAAATTTTCCTTTACATTTATTTATGGTTCAGACCTTATGAATCAGTGACCCATTCTTCTATAAACTTGCTAGTATTTTGATGATCAGCCCTTTATGTTAGTTTCTTAATTTGGTTAGTGTTGAAGCTGTCCACAGCAGAATACACACCCATCCCACAGTTCCTGCGTGTACACTTCAGTGACACTCCCAGCCATGAGCATTTTATAATAGACAAGCATATGGTAATATCGACGTACCTAGTGAGGTTGAATATATTTTTATATAGTTATTATCTAAGTATACTTATTTTTAAAATTATCTGTATATACCAGCGGTTCTCAACCTGTGGGTCATGACCCCTTTGGGGGTCGAATGACGCTTTCACAAGGGTCGCCCGATTCCTAACAGTAGCAAAATTACAGTTATGAAGTAGCAACAAAAATAATTTCATGGTTGGGGGGGTCACAACCCGAGGAACTGTGTTAAAGGGTAACGGCCTTAGGAAGGTTGAGAACCACTGGTAAATACCAAAGAGTTTTCTCTTATTGCCTGTCTTTTATTAAATCTTTATTCCTCTTACAACTTTGCTAATTATGTACAAATATTGTGGTGGTCTTTTAACTCTATATTTTATGTAGTCAGTCTCTTTCCTTTATAATTAAGAACTTCATGCAATGCTTAGCACAGTGGTTCTCAACCTTCTAATGCCATGACCCTTTCATACAGTTCCTCATGTTGTGGTGACCCCCCAATCATAAAGTTATTGCTACTTCATCTCTGTAATTTTGCTACTGTTATGAATCGTCATGTAAATATCTGATATGCAGGATGTATTTTCATTGTGACAAATGGAAAATCATTAAAGCATAGTAATTCATCACAAAAACAATATGTAATTCTATATTGTGAAATATTTATTTCTAATTACAAATAAATGAAATTTTGTCTAGAAACACGGTGTAGCATGGGTAACAGTCTTCACGCCAAGTACTCTTATGTGGGCATATCTGCATGTGGGCGGACCCGCCTGGAGACGGATAAGAGGAGTGGTGAAATATGTGTTTTCTGATGCTCTTAGGTGACCCCTGTGAAAGGGTCGTTTGACCCCCAAAGGGGTCACAACCCACAGGTTGAGAACTGCTGGGTTAGCAAGACCCTCTCCCACCCTAAGATTATTAGCACGGCCATTTAGATTTTTCCAGTTACTTTTACGGCATTTACATTTGGATTTTATTTTTAAGTATGATGTGAACTAGGAACTGAACCAGAGTTTTCTCCCAGTAAACAGCCAATCGTTCTAATGCCATGTAGTTACTAATCTCTACATATTCTGCTCTGTTACTGTTCTCTGAATCAGTTTGAATTGGCCAATGTGCCTGGTCTTTCGCTAATGCCCCATATCTACTAGTATTGCTTTGTAGTGTATGTATTGGGTAAGCTCACCTCTTTTTGTTGTGCGTGTTTTAAAGTTTCTAACATTTTCTTGCCAATTAATTCTTCCAAATAAAACTGAGAATTATTTTGTCAAGTTCCCTAAAAATCCCTATCGGACTGTTTATGACAATGTGCTGAATATACAGATTTAGCTGGGGGAGGGTTGGCATCTCTACCATGACACAATGTGTCTTCCCAATGAGTTAGGTTTCTTATGGACCAAAGCACAATCAGTGTTGTGGGTTTTTAAAATATGCTGGTTATACCAAAAATTTTTTAAAAACATTTTACTGAGGGCTTTTACAGCTCTTGTGACAATCCATACATCAATTGTTTCAAGCACCTTTGTATATTTGTTGCCATCATTATTTATTCTATGTACTAAAAGTTAAGAATGAGTTTGGACACCACTCTCCATGGGATCAATACTGTCGTAGTTTTAGTACATGGCAGTAGCAGTTGCTGTCTCATGGGGACTCTTCGTGTGTCCCAGCAGAGCTGTGCTCCGTAGGGCTTCCAGTGGCTGAGTTTTCAGAAGTAGACTGCCCGGCCTTTCTTCTGTGTGGCTGCTGTTGAGCTGGAACCTCAATCCTGTTGATCAGCAGATCAGGGTGCTAATCATTGGAAGCACCCAGAGACTTCTTGTTTAATGAATCCAAGGCTCAAAAGGGTCAAGACTCAAACTCAACCTCATGACATCAAGCTGGCTCTGAATCAAAGTGAGCCTACAGGACAGGGGAGTGCTGCTCCTGTGGGTTTCAAGACTAAATATTATAGGAGTAAAAAGCCTCATCTGTCTCCCGAAATGCTGCTGGTGGTTTTGAACTGCTGACCTTGCAGGTAGCAGCCAAACATGGAACCCTAAGTAACCAGCCTCAAAATGGAGAACATGGCAAATCTTGCCGTATATATATTTTGCCACAACAATTTGTTTTTTAATTAAAGAAAGGTACACAACTTAGAAGAAAAATGGTCAAGACACAGTGTGGGAATTGCACCTGATCTGATCCCGTCACACTGAGGCAAAGCACT